AATACATTATATGCAGGTGCACAGGTGGTAATTTTGCCCCACCCAGTAGATACGATAAGAGATTCATATAGAGGATAGTCTAAATGAAGGCCTTTGGTCTTCGGTGGGGATGGGATAGAGCAAGGCCCTGCATCACTCACTGCCTCACCCTTCACTTGATACGAAGGAAGGCCATTTGGAATTTGCTACAATAACCCTAGAATGTAGGTGAATCCCTTCACTGAACACTTATGTCTAATGATCAACATAAAAATACCTCGGGTATATCTAAATTGACAACTGCTTCGGAATTGTATGGAACATCTGAGCGTCCCTTAAGTTCCCTAAAAAATAAAATAAAAATTATCATAATTCCCGTGTCCATGCGCTTACACACCTACCTGTACTTCTCCAGGTCGGTTGGTCCAACCACGGTACGAGGTTTGGCTTCTGAAGGATAAATACCGATGCCGAGCGTTACGCAAATACTTTCAGCGACTGCCCATGCACTGAAAAGCACATCCCTGGCACGCAAAGTAAATGCGCAGATTTCAGATAAGAATGTAAATGTTAATTAGTTAACTGAATGAAAATGAACAAGCTCAGAGAGCAAGCTCACCTGTAAACTCTCATCCGGAAAACAACGAATACTGCAGCAGCGTACAAAAGACGTTGGAGGAAGCTTAATTCCCAAACACTATCCGAGCGGAGACCCTGCAAGTGATTTGTTTGCTTCTAAAAAGCTAGATGAAAATTAATGGTACGATTTTCGCTTCCTGCAAAGTTTGCAATATACCAATGAGAGAGCTAGATTCAAAGTCCAAACAGTAAATTAACCAAGGCAACTAATGCACCTTTTCCAGAGAAGTAGATAAACTAAATCGCAAAGAATGAGAGGAAACTCACATCAAGAGGGTAAATCTTATTGAAAATGATGAAAAGTGGTACGCTCCAGCATAATCGTATAGCTCTTTCACGTATCTCTGAGACTGGCGACCACTTCCTCAATAGAACGGGGTCCTGAGAATCTAGCAGCATCTGATAGGTATAATACGGTCCTGCGAAAAAGGGAAAATTATGATTCGAATTTTGCAAAAACACCCATAAGGCCAAGTTACTTTCCAATACACCTGCTACATTATCTGTATTGCAAGCTCACCGGTGAACAGTCCAGCAAAATGGTAAAAATAATTTAGTATCTCCAGCAGACTAGGTTCCTTTTCAAGTAAACGCTTGCGTTTCTTCGTGGTTTCTGATGTGCCTCGAGCGAAATGACGATCGGAAACTTCAAATGAAAGCCCGATTACCTTAAGCACAATACTGCACCAATTCGATCAAAATATGAATATGTGAACATAAAAGGCTAAAGATGAGTAGTTATCCACCCTCAGAGTCATTATCAACTGAACAACGTTGGCTTGAGAGGCGAGTTCATCAACATCGAAAAAATAGTGCAGGTACCGAATAACCATAAGGTACGCGAAAGAAGCAACGAAAACCACAGCTGTTAGAGAACTGAAAATAAGTTAACTGAATACCCAATAAACCATCACATTTCCACTTCTACAGAACTACAAAACTAGACTTTGGCGAATCTCCGAGAACCCTGTAGCGGAAACAGTTTCAAAAGTTATTTTTGGCATAGGTTGAAATGTGGGTTTTTTGCAAAACACTGTATAGTTTTAATTCGATGTGATAAGAATTGATTGCGCATTCGTCGAATGTTGAGACGTCACTGAAATTTGCTACCGACTTCATGCAAGAACTAAAGCTGCTCTGCATAGACGATAAATGCTGAAGCAGTTGATGCTGGAACTTTGCATCTGTAGTATTCAACACTCAAACTACTTTTACATCTCTACGGCCACATGCAAAGCACAGTACAAGTTTTACATTTGCAGAACAGATACCGCTTACAAAGCAATTTCCTGTTTTGTAAAGAGGCCTATTCAAGAAGGCTATGGTGTAACTTTGCTAATATTCGAACGCTATTGAGCCCAGGGAAGTCATAGCTTGTGTGCTGAATACAAGTCTAAGAGCAGATATTCACATAACTTAGTAGAAAGTCGATTGAGAAGAAATATCGTCAAAAATAAAAACAAAGCTATTTTACCAACTTCCTTGGAGCACATTTTATATAAATAGCCACAAACAGCGCCATCGGTATCGAGTACAGAATCTTCTTTCCTAAAATATCTTCTGCATTCAGAATCAAAGGAGGTTCATTCTCCTTTTTTCATTGTTTCTGTGAAATATTCCTTTCGAACAAGCTCAACAAAGACAAAACAAGCTGGACAGACAATTTTCCCACCATGAAGATGTGAGTGATTTACAAGTGACCTACGATCCCTGGTGACTTACCAAGTACTGTGAGAGCCATTGCAAATCCTATAGGACCGCCAAGATGAACCAGAAGGAATGCATTTTGTTGTAATCGTAGAATCCATGAAATAGCGAAAGAGCTAACCAATATGGCTAAAATTTACAATGACTTATTTTAAAGACAAATCATCTAAGTAAAATCGGAGGTTACCTGTATAAATCCAATCGTCATGCGATAATAATCCAAGTACAGACAATTCCATTGAGATCAGGCAGACCGGAATATATCGCAGTTTTTGGAGACCGAAATTTCGGGTGCGGGGAAGAGGTCGTCCGCCATTTAGCGTCAGAAATACAGTAATCCGTAATATTGCACACAAAATTCAATTTTTTCACCCAGCTCAAGATACCCAGTTGCAAAAATAAATGTAAAAGAATTGTAAAACCAGCTTTGTTATCCACAAATCGTTGACTAGTGAATGTAACTAATTCAAGGTGTGGGCGAGCCGCTGAACGCCTGTGAAAAGTTTGAATTTTAGCGCGAATTTTGTAAGGGTATACCTGAGTGTATATGTAGTAGTATATCCTCCACTGTTCTGAGACATAATGAGTCGAAAAACTCAGGTCAAAGAGGACAGTAGAGGATGGGAGTAGCACGTGGAAACGAAGATTCTGGAACTTTACTGGCCGGGGGGGGGGAGAGTATATTCACCTTTAAGTGAGTGGAGCTCCCTTTAGCGATTCCTAAATACGTGACTCACCATGGCTAGGAGACCGTTTTCGGGCTAGTCGAACTCCGTCTTTGAAACGACCTCAATTTGATGGCTTTGCCTGCGCTCCCTCACCTAAACAGCGGCTCATGACCACTGTGATCTCACACATTCAAACTTTTGCCACATTGTAATTGGCTCACCCACCAGGAGTACCCCCTCCCCTCCAAGGCTTAGTCACCATTAGGGCTCTCACCCTTCCCCCTTGGGACGAACCGAACCAGGCGCCGTTCCCCAATCATCTGTGCTCTACCCATTCGCGGCAGGATCATTGAGGCGTCCACTTTTTGGAGTCTGCGCCCTCCCACCGAGAGATCGGTAAATTGGTGAGAGCCATTGCTGATTCAGAGGATGAGAGTTACGAGGTAGACAGGTGAAGGATTAGGATATACGAGGGTCCTCTCTCTTGTTGCCCTCAAATGCAATGTTATCTCGTAGGTATCAAGAAGGCAGTTGATTCGGTCGAGCATGGGGAGGCGCTCTTGCTGTGAATAGGCGCAAAGTGCAAGCTCTGTGCAGGCTGTTCTCCATTGATCGTGTTCACGTAACCTCATCAAAATGTCTAAAATAATTCAAGAAATACGTCTAACGAAAACGAGGATATGAGATGGACCACAATCGGATAAAAAAGGAAGAAATGTCGTCAAACACACAGAAAATACGATCTCTTTGCTCTACGCTGCGGAGAAGTTCAAAAGGTAAGAAGTTCGCGCAGAGGGTGAGAGAACTTCGGGTCGAGAGAGCACAGCTGATCAACCGATACGACGCAGGGAAGATATCGAACTGTGGGCGGGTATCGTTCGACAAGGCGTCGTTATTGAAATCTAGGCCCTAGGCGCCTTCCTGAGGAGTTTCAAGGTGCTGACGCAACCCTTACAGTTGTAGAACTAGCACCTCCACCCTCAGGAGAAAACTCTCAGTAAGGCTGAGCACGACTTTTGCCTTTAATTTGTGTCCTAGAATTTCCGCATCAACCTGGTATGCATCCTAAAGAAGGCTGTGGAGCGGTGGACGGAATGAAGTTTTCGTTAGCAAGCCGAATGCTATCCACTGTCCTGCCAGCGTCACGAAACGGAATTCTGCAGTGCCTGAAATGAATGCCATTATTTTTTATGCTAAATTATTGTTACTTCATTTTGAAGGGATGTCTCGTTAGCATTCATGCTGAACTTTGATTCTTTTATCTAATAGCCAAAGCAAGCATGGATGGAGGTGTATCTTAATCGGCGATCGAAATGGGCAGAACATTACTACTGGTCGTTCCTCAACGCAAAACCCAAAATTCTTGCTGTGAGGGCGACGATCTCATCAAAATTAACCACCCTATTCGTAACCTCTCATCTGACGAACACGCACAACTCTCACATATTCCTCTGAGTTTTTTTTTCAGGAGAAACGGAAGTATGGAATTGAACTCTGTTAATGCCGGACTTGTAGTTGCGTTGTTTATGAAAAAAAAGTTCTCAGAATCGAGAAGACTTGTTTTGACTGACTTTCAGAACTTCATACAAAATATGCAAATAAAGAACATTTCCAGACATTGAAATCGATAAACAGCTTTTTATCGCAAGCCTGTGAACACCTAATATGTGATGCGTAACAGTCTTCTGAAGGGTTTACAGATTTGAAGTGTCATTTCATCTTTGGCGGCACTTTCATCTCTGTCAACTGTGCCACTCATGTAAGCCTTGTCTGTCCCATATCGGGCTTCTCGTTCGTAGTCGCATTTCACCCAGTTTTCTCCTCTCCTCCCCCAAATGTTCTGTGAGACTCCATTTATGCTTTCTCTTGCGTGGAGCGAGCCTTCGGCGCAGTACGCGTGACCTGCAGGATCATGCGTTGCAGATGTTTTGGAATCAGCGCGACCTCCTACCTTGCAAGGTCAACCACCTCTGTGCTACAAGTACATATGGAGGTGCATATTTGAGCTTACGGGAGAGGTCAAATGTAAAATGGGGGGCGTGTTTTGCGTAAGATGGGTTTCTTCTGACAAATGTTTGGAAATATTTCATGGGAAAGAAACATTAAAATGGAAGAAAAGATGGATTTTGCCATATTTTTGAGATATCATATTACCTTAACTCGATGGTAAGTAGTGTTCGGGGATGGTGGCGGTTTGAATGGCGTCTTGCACAAGGACGACAGTGATGGCAAGGGCTGACACTGCCCCGAAAACTTCCTCAAAGATTTCACCCCAAGAATTCCCCTATAATGTTCACTTCCAGGTTTTCCCGAAGGTTTATTAGCGAAACCAAATGAATGTACAGTAGCTTCACAATACAATAAAGTACTGAGCTAAGTTCGATGAATTTTATTCAAAAGAATTGAAAACAACTCAGAACATCCTCAAATTTCCAATTAATATCGTCGCAGTGATCTTGGTAAAAACACCCTCCAACGATAAAATATTCTAAGGAATTTACAATGAAATCAAAAGAGACCCCCCACACTAATAGCATGCTACCTTGCTTGCACTGCCTTCCTAACAGAATACAGAGTATACGAAATTTGAAGCAGCTGGGGCGAAAGTTAGGCCCGAAACAGGAGAATGGAAAATAGGGAATGACAAAGACAGACGAAAAAACAAGGTCGTCGGCTACATACTTGATCATAGTCAGGGGTACCCCCAGGAAGGCCCGTCGCGCAGCAAGAAGGCAGAGTCGGCGGACGAGTTGCAGCGCGTGGTGTGCGATGTGGGACGTGCAGTGGGACACTCTATTTAGCTTGACGCGAAATCCCATAGTACGCGCGCGACTCGTCCGCTGACTTTGCCTTCTTGCCGCGCGACGGCCTCGGTGGGGTGTACCCCAATGTCTAACGTGGAATTGACGGGCGAGCTGCTAGAAGGTTCACAGTTGCCTTCAAGCGGCGGCATGTTAGGCATTAGCAGTATGGGGCGGAATTGAAAACCACGCAGATGGCGCGGAGATGCGAACAATATGTCCTGTGAGCGCCTTGAAAATACTTCGAAGGTTTGTGACTTGGCTGGAATTCTAGGACGAGATTGACGCAGATAAAAAGAGTGCAGGTGACAAGGTGAAGAAGGCAGACAAAACAGTACTGAGTCTTTCAATCACAATACTCAGTGAATTTTTCAAGCTTTTAGATAGGTATATCATCATTGATGACCTGAAGCTGAGTGACTGCTACTCCTTCAGTTGCTGTTCATGATTGCGCTTGGAAGAATAAGTAAGCCAAACTCTACCAAAGATAAATTTGGAAAAGCTTCAAAAGCTTCAAAAATTTTTACTACTCATAACGATTGTATTTAACTTGTCAATCGAGGCTGTGCGGGATTGGATTTTTGTGAAAATCTGCAGCAGAGATCACTTGTCGACTTTTGGCCGTACAAAAATTGCCCAGCTGAAACTTCCGATCAGAATGTAACGGAATTATTGAATGTGGCCCATATTGAAACTGAAGAAGTGCACGAAACAACATTGTTTGGATGAGTTGTCTGAAGCAGAGTCAACCCTGCGTTGCGCAGTTCTCAACGGCCACGTTGCGCAGTTTCGCCCGATTAGACACGTTCTCTCGCGCGAACATTCACACTCGCATGCTCGAGCCGTCTGTGTCTCCGCCCATACAGCGTGCGTTGAGGATCTCTCGACGTGCCGTTGCGAACTGCGCAACGCAGGGTTGACTCTGCTTGCAGCTGTTCATCAAAGATGTATGATAATGAAGTTATTAGAAGAATGCGACGAGGGCAATTTACGAAAGGATCGCTTGAAGCGAAACTGCCAAGTTGTCATCGATGCGTTTGTCGGTAATTAGAATATGGCTATAGTTTCTGGGTGAGAGAGATATGGTGTGCACTTTAGTGGTTGTATGTAGTTGGTGACTTGTACTACCTTTTTGTTTCGGAATTGGGGCATGGAAGCATTTTGTTACACATTATTTAGTCCATCCCGCACAACGGATCACTTCCTTCATGCTCTCTGCTGCACACTCCAACTATTGGAATAACAATAAAGTGACTTCGACTTTGACTTTGATCGTCCCACGATCGATCTAGAGTTGTGGTATTGTACTTCACAGCAACGTGCAGTGCATGATACCTTCCTATAACGAGTATGAGTATTGTTAGCGTATTTTCGTTGAATGGATAGTGTAATTTTGCAAAATCCATTGTCTGTCAGAGTACACTGTCGTGATGTGGGAAACATGTTTCGGAAAGCAGCACAATGGCCTCAACATTATACGAAGTTATACGATCATCTGAATCTGAATAGTATTGGGGCTCATCAGCTAACTTAGACGTTTTGCGCTGCTGCTTTATTTTCACCAGTTTGGCTGGGCCGCATTCGTGTGCATCACATGGGACTGCAGTGGTGTAGAGCAGAGCCATCGATATTTCTATGGTACTTCCTGCGCGAACTCTCCACACCTCGGTGCACGCTATTAATTGAGCCGCCTTATCACTTCGCCCCTTACCCAACTTTTTCCCCGGTCGTTATGGACCTCTGTGAGAAGTAACTATATGTTTCGTGGCA